GAGTCTTTCAGGCGGGTCTCCGATAAGCAGCAGATATCGATCGAGCGGGTCTCTAATGTTCGGGCAAGTGCCGCATGTTGACCTATCTGTAGCGTGGTGTGTGCATTGAGGCATGCCAATCTGAAGGAGGATAGTGGGCTCCAAATGGAAGCGGATGAACTAGAATGGACTGCTTGGTTGAACATGGGCTTGTCGACAGGGCAGGAGTGGAGCTTCGCGTTTGCATGTGAATTGAAAGTAGAAGATAAAAGTCTAGCAAACATGTTAGGTATAGGCCAAGTATCGGGGGGGGGGGGTTGAAAACTGGGGGATAAAAGTGTAGTAGGATCAGGACCATATGGGGGAAAAAGCGTAAGAGGGGAATAAGAAGACGGGAAAGCTTGTAAACCTCTATCCACTTTGCACGTTTCAGCAGATAGGGCACCGTTGATTATCCTCTGTGGTGGCCAGAGCATAAGGAAAATTTTGAAGAGAAATTTATTATATTGCGTGGGCAGGATACTGTCAGATTGTCCAGGCCTAGACAGGAGAATGATTAGGGTTCTCAACCAAAGTATTTGGTTCAAAAACCTGACCGCAAGACAGCGGGTTTGGCCTCGGGCTACAAGGAGTCCGTTTTAAGGAATAAGGTGCCACCCTCATTCCAACCCCCAACCTGGAGGACCAAGAGGCTGAGTTTGTCTGGCCTCTAACCACTGACCAATCTGGTACGAATGGCTCTGAAGGTGCAAAAGCACTACCCAGCATAGCTCAATGGATCACTGAGGCACACAAACCATGGCATCACGGTAAGGTCCAGCCTCATTGCTCATAAATACCAACTTGGATGGGTTGACCGGGAGGCGGACTTTCGCTGAGCCCATGATGTGGTATTTGAAGTAGGCTGCGGTCGTCTGGGTTGCTATTCACTCTCCAACTCTTCAGATCGCCCGCATACTGGACACAAGGCGATCGAAGAAGATGAGGTAGGTCGATGATGCGGATTAGGACCAGAGTGGGCCCCAGCATCGAACATCGGGGTACTTCACTATTGGAGGGTTACCGGTCAGTTAGATAGTCATTGGCCTGTACCCTCCACTTTCGTCCAAAGAGAAAGTCCTGGATTAACTTGTGCAGTGATCCACCAACACCGCACAATCTGCTTGTGTAGGAGGACCCCAAGGTTTACCTTGTCGATGAAACCATCCGGAGTGGAATCAAGGAAAGAGGAATCAGCTGGTAACGGATAACTGATTGGTAGCAGATGAAGGGGTAGCGTGTGAATGTGAGTAACTAGCAGAAACTAACAAGTTGAGAGCGATATTGCAAATGATTAGTCCATATTTTTCAGTGGATGTTATACTACCCGATTGCCCCAACCCGATGTAGGGAGTGGTCTTAAGGGACTCCACCCCGAGCCATTGGCTAAATAGCCTGCCCGCAAGACTGCGGGGTGATTGTAAGACTGAGTCTGAACTCTAAACATTGAGCTGTCTGGTATGAGTTGCTCTGAATGTGCTTGAAAGCGCAACCCATCGTAGCTCACTTGGTAACAAGGTATACAAACCCTCGCACTTCGTTAAGGTCCTGTCTCGTTGCGATAGCTTGAGTGGTGGTGTTCTAGTTTTAACCATTCTTTTGCCATTTGCATACCTGGTTTGCTCTTACTGGTAAATTTGAGTACCAGCATCTCTTGTCATTTGTGCCTGTCGGATCAATGAGTGAGGCACAGTAGTTTCTGATTTCATCGTAATTCTGCCATGTGGTATCACATGCGCTTAGCATATGTTGCCTTCAAATCTTATGCCTTCTATTGATTCGTTTAAGTGTTCTTCTTTGGATCCAAATGTTGCTCCAGTGTAATACTCGTAATCGTAAAAGTTTGAGGCTCCTCATGTGGCCCAGTTTACTTTATCTTTCTATTCATTTCATGCGTCCTTCGCCGACATGTGAATTTATAGGCCCCAGTCAACGGTTGTTGCTAGGTTTTGCAGCTTGGAATGGTCAGTAATAATTTGTTAGGTTCCCTGCTCTTTATCAACAATACTGACATAACACATAACCAAATTTTATGACTGAATGGTCACTATTGTTAATGGAGGGTCGTAAGCGACAGACTCAACCATGAACTCTTCAATTGTCAAGATTAGGTCCAGTAATCATGACTTGTTTGAACCGCAGTGTCTGGATGGTCAATTCACATGGTAATACACAACTGTCATGTCCATGAATTCCAAGAGTTTTGATTTGAGTGATGCCCAGTGGGTGGACACTGATACTATTGCAGTTGCATTGAAGTTGCCCATTATAAGGCAGTGGGGAAACTTTTTTAAAAAACCAACTTGAGAGCGTTTAACAGAATGTCTTCACTGTCTGCGGCCTGTGGACAACTGCTAAGAGGCAAGCATCACGCATCTTATTCTAGGGTCCACCATCTCGAAGTGCCAGCCGTAGTCGCCTAAAGAATTCGTCGGGAATAACAAGTGAATGCACGTTAAGGGTCTCACATTTCAGTAATGTCGTTGTTAGCTAGTAACACCGCCACGGCGAGATCGACGATCATATCGTATGACCGGGATTTTATTGAGTTCAATCTCTGAATCTAAAAGGTCGTTTAAGAGGCACATTTTAGTAGTGCTATGAGCTCCCAACTTGTTGTTTCATATCGATGTTTCTTTTACGAAAGCCCGGAATACAGCCCTTGATGGCTGATCTTGCAGGATTGCATTTGTTGACGTGTTAAGATTTCGGTTCGTTGTGTTCGCCCGGCACAAATATAGCCGGTCTGCTTTTTTGAAACGTCTGTTTGTATGGTTGGCATAGTTGCGATAGGAACAAGTGAGACTGACTTTGCTGTACCTGGGTTCTGCACTTCTTGAAGGAATGATCTTAACCGTATCTCTAGCGGCTCAAGTTGCCAGTTGCCATGCAACGCTTGGATCGCCATTGATTTTATCTTGGAGGTGGCCAAAGCAACCTTCTAAACGTTTGTCCCGCTACAGTGATAGTTTGGGTAGGCAGCTAGACGAGTAATTTCAAAGCTACGACGTTTTACTACTCGCAGAGATTTGTGATGTGATTCCACTCTTCACTGTTGTGCTTTTGTCTTTCACTTTCAACATCATGCTTCAATGCTGGCACAGCGTAATCCAGTGCCGCTTGCTTCATCGCATTCTGACTTGACGCGCTCACGTTGGATTTCCTCTTCTCTCTTTCTGCCCATGGTCTGTCCGGAAAATTGCACGCACCGACTTGAGTTCAATAGAATATGACTTAGTAAGATATCTGCCAGGTCCCGTGTGTTGCCAAAGGTTACTCTTAGTAAGCGAGATTCCCCTACCTGCGGAGATGATGGTTTTCCTAAAAGTCGATTAAGACTAGTTGGGCGAACATTCAGTCCGTGTGCACAGGTCACCTCAACCCAGCGGTTTTGATCCTCTGTTTATCCACCTTTGAAGGATTCGCTAGTGAGTTCTGGGATGTTTGAACAAATCACTGTCATCGCCTGTTGGTTGCGTAGTAACTGGTTATTATGCGGTTCCTGGTGAGCGGAGAGCTGTCGTGTTGGTGTGTTGTCATGCTTGGAAAACAGGCTAAAGCTAAAGCATGACGGTTTATGTGCTACGTCCTTAGTCGCAATATCTGTAGGAGACAAATATTGTTGCCCAGCTAATAACGGGGTGATCGCGCAATTTGTGCATAACTCTGCATAACTTGCAGCAATTCATGAGACTTGGAGGCCCGTTCAACCGGCCAGTTGACACAGCTTCTGGTCACCAGTGGAGTTCGCTTTTCGCTGGACTGTGTAGCAGTTTTGCCAGAGCTTTTGTGTTTTGACAGACTTAGTATTTGGGCTAGGTAATACACTAAACTGCAACTCGAGTTCATGGATTTTCCCCGCGATGCAGCCGCTCGTTTCTTCTGCGCTACTGACGTAACAGCCAACGTCTCACACCACACCGTAAACGTTAGAACAGTCTTAACTATGGAACTAACTGAAAATAAATCCCAGAACCACAACATATTTAACGCTAAGCTGCTCATTCCTTTAGTTTTAAGTTCACATGTTGTGTCGTAGGAATTTGCACAGAATATATTGATCTACGTGATAATACCTGTTGCCCACTTGTCGGAGCTACGATTCACCGGTCGACAAACTTCCCCTACTCATAGCCCAATGGTTCGTATACACTTTATGTCACCCGAGTCAAACCGATTAGGCTGCTTCAGTTTTCTGCTCGGCTAGCGGGAACTGTTGATGTGTCAGCGGGTTTGGTAGTGGTGCGTCCTTGGTGCACGGGTGGATAGAGTCACACAGGCTTTGTGCGGTAAAATGTACGTAAAAATACTGTGGTAGGTGTGAGACGACAAAATAGCCTGTAGATACGGTGTAGAGTACTTATGGTGGCCTTAAAGAAGCTCTGGCGAACGATGTTTGAACGGCACTGCAGAAACTCAAAAAAGCAAGGACTCCCACGTAAAACTTAGGGAATAAACTGCCGAAAACCGCAATTTCGGTTTACCAGCTTGTCGTTGGACTTACTTTGAAAAGATAGATGGTGCTAAGTGGTCCGAGTTAGGTGAGCGTGCTAATGTTAAGGGATAAGTTCACTTTAATGTAGAGAATAACTTTATACAACCTGCAAATAGTAGGTCACTAATGGCCAGTTTCGAGATAAAAATGAGTAAAACATTTGTATTTATGATAGCAGTTCTTTAGTGCTATTAAGCCGTTGTAAGGTACTTAATTTGGTTTGACATGTGCTTCGATTACCAGGGTTGAAACGTTGCTGTGGCCAACTAGCCGACTGCTTTCTTGATTAGCTTAATTACCCTAGCGCTTTAAAAGTGTGCACTTCAACACAGATACGGCGCAAACCAATTAAACTGTTAGTTGATTTCATGGATTAAACTGTCCTGAACATCATAATGAATTAAGGAAGCAATTTGGCTCCAGTTGTTAACGTTATGAATAGGTGCATTTTCCTAACGTTTCAAGATACTATTAGTAACTCACCAACGATGAGCCTGGCCCACGGAAAATTTCGTCTTCAGGGGAAGCGCTCTGTATAGAATTCACCAACGTTGTAACAAGCTGTTGTAATTTATCTTTGTTCAAGGTTAGTTCTAAGTCATCGGACTGCTTCCGCTTCTTTTGTAAACCTGAGCGATGTAAGTTCATTCGCGCAAAAGAGACGACCATGCGGAGAACAAATGGCCACGGTCGAATTCCGTTGTACCAATTAGTGATGCTACGCGCAGTGAGTGCATCACCAACGGCTTGGTGGATACCACGGGAGAAGATGTGCATTATTCGGACGTAATCTGTGGAAGATGCTCCATAACGGTACAAAGTGAATATCAGTCGCTCAAAGGCCAATCCGTAACTGCTCACTTTGAAGGAGCCATAGCCCGGAAGAGGTGACTTCTTGTCTTCGAGCCATAATAACTCTGTCGGTAGGTCGTGCAGCAAGGCGATTACATAATCCGGCTGACTGTACAGAAGATGACACAGTGGTCCATAGATCAACATACGCCCGCCGTTAATGTTATGTGTTTCAGATTTCTTGACCTGCGTTCGGGCATCCACACCGACAAGTCGAGGCAAAATTGGACGCTCCTTTAGAACCGATTTCCTTTGCCTACTGAGTCGAATCTGGACAAGGAGTTTTATAAGACTACTGGAGCTAGATAATTCTTGATTAATGACGACCAGTTTGTCTATCGCAGTGAGAATGCTTTTTCCAAGGAGGAAACAATTCATCTCCATCTCAAAGGCTTTCTTTGCTGCATGACCAGAAAGGAAAGGGATACAGTCAGACGCAAAATCCATCAGTGCTGCGTTTCCCATGATTTGTTGGATAGAGGTATTTGGTTTCTGCAGATGGTATCCATACTCGTTGGTTCCGACGTCAACACAGCTTTGCATCACGAGTCTAAACGCACGAAACCACTGCCGTACTTGGTGGCCACGCCAATGCGCCTGCACTTTGACTATCAGAGCAGCGGAACGCCTGTGTTGTGATAAAGAAGTCCGAAGCTTCCTCATGGCCAGGGTTCTTCGCCAATTTCTTTGCAAGCAGCGGACGGCGTTAACGCTGTGAGGGCTATGTAGATATGCCAATCGCCTTCGGTAAGCTTGTTGAACGAGATATCTGCGCCAGTTAGACTGTATGCGAACAGCACATAAATTTAAAAGATGGCTGGACGTTTTATTGAATGCCGTTGCTCTTAAGGCGTGTGGAACATCAGGCACTTCATCCAACCTCCTTTTCTTCTCGCACTCTCGTGGATAATCCCACTTGTTAGACCGGTGCAGTGCCCAGCCTTTCACTGCCTTTAAGTCGTCTTGTTGAGGAACGCTGGATGTCATTTCAGTAAATACTTGGTGCTTTCTGCTGTACTCCGCATTCAGCTGCGTAATAATCGCTACACAATCTTCCCGATTCAGTAGGCCACTGTCTAATGTTGGTGGATCGCATACTCCTACTGGCCACCGAAGTTGAGTTAAGTCATTGGTCCACACTGTTTCCATATTTGGATGGCTTGAGGTAAGAGGCCAAACAACAAGCTGATTAGAGTGAACATTGTAAAAGTATGGAACTTCGAAGCGGCTAAGAAGAATTTCCTCCTCTTCGCTTTGCACTCTCAAAGCCGCATGATCGAATGCTGGAACATGATTCCAAATCCAACCAGACCCGATTTCATGGGGGCAAATGCTCTCCACATACGCAGCCACCGGACTTATATTACCGACTGAGGTTGCAACTGAGCTCAACCCACGAAGATATCCTGTCGATCGAACCAATCGCTCTTTTCGTACCTGACAATGTATTAAAGGAGCATATGAGCGTTTACATCAGACATGCGTAATGGGATACAGTTGCTGTTTTATTTTTGATGCACTACCATCAGTTAATAAAGACGTCCGTAATTCGGAGAATTTTTACTAATGTGCAGTAGCTGGATAAGGCACAAAGAGGGCGGAGAACGTGCAGTGCCCAGAGCTAACGAGGTTCACCTTGACAAAATATGAGATGCACCCTGAGTTTGCTTGTTGTGGACCGACTATTTGATGCGTACCCAAAAAACCTAGTTACGATAAGGCTTTCTTCGCTTCATTGAGCATAATACCATAGGGTTGGAAGTCAACAGCTGTTTGTATTTCACCGATTTTGGCTCGTTAACTGACTAGGTGTCTTGACCATCCAATCTGACGGTCCGACCCAGAGTCTCTAGTTCTTACTATTGGGATAACAGATCACAAGGTAAGCAGGCATGCCAGTAGTAACAGTCATCATTGTGTCCGGACAAAATGTAAGCCGAAGAAACTCATGGATTTTCGTCTCTGCACACTTCTGCATCTCCATGCTTCCCACGTTCTGAGGCAACACTCACCTGCGGTGTCGTGATGGTCAGAATTTTTTCGTTGCTCCTGATTTTATAAGTTTGCGGATTCAAATTTTTCGCACATCGGCCTAGGTACGCTCATTCCATCGGGCTCGATCAGGCATTCCCATTGCGCAAACTTTCACAAGGATACTATTAACGGATCAACGTCTAACGCCGGTTTTCAATTCTGGCTGTTTCAGCATAGTCTTTCGCCTACGAGTGCACCACTGTTCTACCAAAACCAACCCTATCTATAGCTGAATAAGGTGACTAGAAGCAATTACAAGAGCTCTCACGCGGCATTGTGAACCGCGTTCCATCGAACGAACACAAATCTCTTTGTCTGGCCGGATTTGTGCGTGTACGTTTGTTGGAATTTGCGGCATAACGTGACGCGGCACGCCACGGAGTTGATCTCATGGCTACCTGTGCCCAGAGCGGTAGATTACTGAAGGGCAATCAACCGTTGGCGGCATTCGGACCACTGAGTGCTCTTACATCCGGTTGGTTTGTATCGATCGTTGCATTGGAAACAGTGGCCTGTTTGTACCCGTGTGATAGATAGATAGGTCGCATAAGCCTCAGTGTGCCCTATGCTGAGACTGATGTTGCATTCATGATGCTTCTTCACCGCAGTTGGGCTAAATCAAGTTACACTTAAACTAGGTAAATCGCTACCTGTCAATTAGATTCTCTTGAGTATGTGACTAGGGCAAGAGACGTCCGATGTGTCACGGTTGTAATATTTCGTGATATCCAAAAAGCTTTCGGTTGTGTCTCACACAACTTATTGTTGCGGTATGGTATCACAAATTCGCTTCTAGGTTGCTTGTCCTCCTATCTCGAGGGTAGAAACCAAGTAGTCAAAATCGGTAACTACACTTCTGAAGCCACTACAATCTCTAGTGGAGTGATTCAAGGTAGCTGCTAGGCCCGCTTTTATTCTTCCACTATTTCGATGATCACCTTGATGAAATCTTGTACGGGAAGCCATTCCTCTTCGCTGATGATGTTAAAATTGTGCATTGTTCCGCCCGTGGGACACGTAGTCCTAATTTAGCCTGTATTCAGTCTGACTTCTCCGCATTGGAGCACTGGAGTAACTCCTGGATGTTACACTTTGTTACTGACATGTGTAATATATTGTACCAAGGCTGTGGCCCTTCTCAGAACATCCTAACATTAAACGACACCTCTATTCCTGTGTGTGGCGCAGGCCGAGACCATGGTCCAAGATGTTCCGCCTCAATTAATTTTTTAGAGCAAGTTATATTCTTGCAGGCTTCTGCCAGAAATGTGATGACCTACCAAGTCGAACTCTTATCTTGAGGGATTCCAGGTTTCAAGCATTTAAAATATGTGTTAAGCCGAAGATTGGGTACTGAACGATAGTACACGGTAATCTGAGAAAAGTGGACATCACAGCATTAGAAAACATTCAACGAGCATTTAAAGGTTTTTGAACATGTCTATGTCATACCATGTGCCTTCTATACCGCTTAATATTCGGATTAAGCTTCTCTGCTCAGCCACAACTCGAGTTTCAGACTCGCATGCGCTACAACCTACGAAACAGCGAATGCACATTGCAAATACAATGGTATCGCACCAAAGATCCGCTCAAAATTTTGCTCCGTAAAATATGCGTTATTATGGAACAAACTTCCATCGTGTATTAGAAACTGCACTCCCTATCCGCAATTCACACTCATAATTAATATTCACCTGACTGTTTCAAATATCTGGTCGACACTTAGCCAAACCATGACTCTAGACGATTTTGTTAGAGTAAGGTCCTGGATGCACTTGAAAGTCGTCATATCCCCTATTTGTTTCAATTCTATAAGGTTACTTATATATAGTTACTTTCTTGAGTATGTATCTATAAACGATCTTACTCCTATCAATCGGTCTAACCAATTTTGTTTTCTCCTTTGACGCACTGGTTCGTAGATGCATAACGCCTTTCAAGCTGATGTCTCTGTACCATCGTCGTCACTCGCAAGGCGTTTCCATCAAACTGTCACTGGTCTATCTGCAAGCGAGTATATTCATTATTATCTTTTTTCATTCTTCACAGTTTATATACTTATTTGTTTCATTGTTGGCCATGAGTGGCTGATCTCTTGAGATGACCGATTACAGCTTCCAAACTATAAAAAATTATACCCATGCAAAGCATATTGCTACTGACTCGCTGGATTAAAACAAAAAGAGCCATACTCGATTGATCCGGATGATGGAAACGACTGAGACTTCATCGCCCATAATGGATGCATAAATCAGCCCTTATAAAAACATTTGATAACCAACTGATGACCTACTCACTATTTTGCCACACCAGCACAGAGCCAGTTGGAGCATGGAATTGCGGGTGAAACCCATCCTGGTAATACCTTGCATGGAAGCAAGTCCCCTAGGGATAGTTCCATGGATGGCCGTATTACCTTACTTGAACTTTCCGTGAAATCTACATTTATTATTGTTCCCAGGTTCGTAATCTCTCTAATACTTTCAAGCTGCTAATCACTTCAAAAAACCCATTTGGGAACCATTGTACAAAACATGTATAATTAACTGTATTATGCCATCATGTTGTACAAGTTGATAAGACCACTCAATTTGTCTGACCTCAAACTTTCGAGGAGTAAAACATTTATTTATTTGTTTATTTGTTAAAAGTCCCGCCATCCCAATAAATCAACATCAACAAAGCCGAAGACAGTATATATATATGTCTATAAAATAGATACCGAGCAATTGAAAACCATGTAATGATGGTAGTTAACAACACAAATATCACAAAGTGGAAAGTATATAAAGTAACATATTTTGTTTTCCCTACGCAGCCTTGTCTTTTATCAGTTTACTGCTTACGGTGGTTAATCAATAGGATCAATACAGGCATGTCAACCTTCCATAGTCCGCAGTAAAGCGCCATGTCTTCAAAAGCCACCAACCAGCGATGTTCTTCATCCCTGAATACCCAGTCCGGAAGACGTACAAGACTGACAACTATTTGAGTGTAACTTAGCGCCTTGATGTTTTCTCGCCAGGTGGTTGATTGCGCACCGCGCGATTTCTTGTAATGCGGCCCTGCTCGAGCGAATAGCGCGTTGTGGCAAACGCTCGCACGGCATACGTAGGACGTAACCTAACCATCTCGGTTGGCACAAGAATATAAACTTGTCGAAAGGGAGTCCCATAGTACCCAAGATGTGAGGACTAACATTGGCGTTGTAAACGTGGTGATTGTACACATTGTACTGCTTGACCATTCTTTCGTTGCATTACCTATGATAATAAATAATATTGACCACATAATTCGCAATTACAATTGAGTCGATTTCCCTCTAGTTCGAAGCTAAGTTCGGGTACAGCTTTGCATTATTCTAGGTTAGAAGTACTACAATTTGCGTGGCAGTCAGTGCCGAGTTCCCAATGCATCCAAATATTGCAATTCTGGACCGGAATTCTTCCCCACAGGAAATTGTGTAATACCCAGAACGGTTTGAGCTTTTGTGGCTTACGAAGCCTGAATTACAAAAGAACTGAAAACCGCATATTTTCTGAATTATATTGTTTATAACGCTTATTCAGTTGTGAAAAAATTGGCGTATCCCAAGTTACCGCCGAAACTTTAACATAAGCCGCTGCGAACCCTATTACTCGATCATTCCTTGCCAACAATTTTCAAAGTGGCAGAAAGAACCAAGTTTACTGTCCTGCCCCGTCAGCGAAATCAGCCTCTTCGTGCTTTTATTTTGCAGCTGCTTACTCAAGCCTCTCGATGTAGTTTCGGTGATAAACGGAATGAGTATCTCAGAGATCGCTTAATTGCTGGAATTAATATCCTAATGTCATATTGTCAATTGATTTCACTGCCTGATCCGACATACGAGGAAGGTTAACTGCTTTTGGAGGTTTTTAAAGAAGTTTACGAAATTTTGAAGTGGAAACACCTTCTGACAAGCAAATCCTGTTTGGTTCTGCCAAAAACAGGGCTTCTGCCAAGCAACCATTTTATTGGTGTTGTAATTCCGCTCTGTTGGCACTGTGTCGGTCTCGTAATGTGCCAAAGCTGTCATTGTTCCTGGAGGCTTGGATATTGACGCTAGAGCAGTTTACCGCAGTTCAAGCTACAATATGCCAGTAACTGACTATTCCGGCGGCATGCAGTGCGATGTTTGCAACAGATTGTTGGATCAGATTTTTACAGAATTGTACACCGAGCACTAAGCAGTACTGGCCTCAAGTGAAAGTTTGTTGTTCAGTTGTGTCAATTGCTGCAAAAGCCTGCAAGACCGCCCGGACTTCCGTAAAAGAGACGAATTCCTTGATGCTCGGCTGAGAAATGTAGGACGTTCATTATCGATGTCCTAAGATCTTCCTCACAATGTCGATATGCTCATGCCGACGCTTTCGATCTCC